GACTTTTAATTTCTCGAGGGCCAAAATCGACAATTATGCCCGTGGTTCATACAAAAGAAATTTTAGAAGAATTTGAAGTCGGTCAGGAAATGATTTGATGAAATATTATTTTCCCAACTTTAATAAAAATATTGAACATCGAAGCTTGTTTGAATAATTAATTAATGTAAATGAGTTATCAATCGTTGTTTAGCAATTTTTGAATGATTCGTGCCATCAAGGCCAAAAGATTATGATTGTAAAATAAAATTAATATTTTTTATTTAATTTATAGCACCTATGGTATTGAAATAAAAAGAACAAAAAATATGATGAAATAGTCCAAATTTTCAATATTTCCTCTTATAAAAATTTCGACCCGTTTTACATCCAAAGACATTTCTTCGATAAAACTCTTACCATTATTTTCTAAAATAGTCCAATTAATTGTAATAATTTTTTAGATTAAAAAAATTACTTCCAAATTGAAAATTTCTAAAATTTGGCTCAGGGCCATAAACACGCTATATTTTTCGAATCAGTACGTTGAGATCTATATCCCTGTTTTTTTTTGAGCAACTTTTTTAAAGCTCAAATTTTCAATATTTCCCCTTTATCAAAATTTTATAAATGAAATATGGCAACTTTTAGGATTAAATAAAAATTTATTTTAAATTAAATATTTAATATTTCCACATTCTTCGAATCAGTATGTCGAGATTTATTTCCCTGAATTTTTTGTGCATTTTTAGATAACTTTTCCAAAAATTTTTTAATAGGAAAATTTCGACATTTTTTCGACGATTTTCGAAAATTACCTAAAGGCATTTTCTTGTAGACGTCAAATTTTGAAGAAACTTTGGACCTCCATTTTTTCGATAAACCTATTAGCAGCTTTCCACAATCGTCCAATGAATTGTCTCAATTTTTTAGATTAAAAAAAAATACTATCAAACCGAAAATTCCTAAAATTTTGATCCAAGACTTTATGCAAGAATTTTTTGTGAATTTAAAATTTAGATGTTTGAGTTTTACGATTTTTCAATTTTTACACTCGCAAATTTTCAATTTTTAGAATTTTCAATTTCTATATTAATTGATTTTTTGATTTTTCAATGTTTCCGTTTTTTCAGTTTTCCAGTTCCTCAGTTTTTCGATTTTTCAATTATAACTTTTTAATTTGTACATTTTTCAGCTTTTCATTTTTTAAAATTTTAGATTTTTTGATTACGAGATTTTTCGATATTAGCAGTGAGTATAGATGTTAAAAATACATAGTCACTGATTTCAGTCAGGTCTTCGATATTTCTATTTGTCAATTTTTCGATTTTTATTTTTTTTTATATTTATCGATTTTTTTAATTTTAAATTTTTCAATGTTCAACTTTTTAATTTTTAGATTTTGGCCTAATTGGATTTCTTAATTTTGCGATTTTTCGACTTCTCGATCTTTTGTTGTTTGGATTTCGCTTTTTTTTTATTTTTGGACTTGTGTGGACGTGATTTTTCGAGCTTTTCGAGCTTTCGATTTTTCAATTTTCCGATTTCCCAATTTTTCATCGTTTCAGTTTTGTAATTTTTCAATTTTCCGATTTTTCAGTATTTTGATTTTTCGATTTCTCGATTTCTAGACTTTTTACTTTATCGATTTTCAATTTTTCATAATATGGGGTTTGTGATTTTTAAATTTTAAATTTTTCAATTTTTTTCAATTTAATTTTTTTTTTTCAATTTTACGATATTTTTAACTTTAGATTTTCTGATTTCTCTATGTCTCGATTTATCAATATTCCAGTATTTCAGTTTTTCGATTGTTCGATTTCTAGATACTTCGATTTTTCAATTTTTCAAATTTTTTGAAATTATAAATTTTTCCATTTCTCCGTCTTTCGATTTTCGATATGTCTGTTTTTCAAATTTTGGATTTTTAAATTTAAAATTTTTCAGTGTTTTGATGTTTCAGTTTCTTGATCTTTTGATTTTTCCACCATTCGGGTTCAGATATTTCGTTTTTCAATTTTTCTATTTTTAAAATTTTCAGATTTTTCGATTTCCTAATTTTCCGATTGTTCAACTTCCCGACTTTTCGATTTTTCGATTTTTCGACTTTTTCGATGTCTCGATTTTTCAATTCTTCGATTTCACAGTTTTTGGTCATTTCAGTTTAGTAATTTTCCGATTTTTCAGTATTTTAATTTTCCGATTTTTCGATTTCTCACTTTTTCAGTTTTCAAATTTTCATACAATGATTTTTTTTATTTTTTTTTATTTTAGATTTTTGAATTTTTCAGTGTTTCGATTTTATGTTTCGAGATCTCGAATCTTCAGTTTTTCGATTTTTTAACTTTTCGTTTTCTTGATTCCTGTATACTTATTTTAATTTTCTTAAAATTTGGATTTTTAGATTTCTCGATTTTTCCGTTTTTCAGGTCTCCGATATTTCTGTTTTTCAATTTTACGATTTTTAAATTAATTTTTTTTTTAATTAACTTCTATGTATTTTAATTTTTCGATTTTTTGATGCCTTGTTTGATTTTTTAAATTCTCAGTTCGATTTTTAAAATTTTTTGATTTCTCAGTTTCCCGTTTTATCCGATGTTTCAATTTTTCGATAGTTCGATTTCTCAATAAATTTATTTTTCATAATTAAATTTTTTATAATCTAATTTTTTGATTTTTGAATTTTTCAATTTTTGCATTTTTTGATGCTTTGCTTGATTTTTCGACTTCAGTTGTTTGGTTTTTAAAATTTTTTGACTTCTCAATTTCTCAAATTGTCGATATTCCGATTTAGCATTATTTCGATTTTTCAATTTTTTAATTTTTTAATTTTTCAGATTTCTGATTTTTTAATTACGACTTCTTAAATTTTAGATTTTTTTAAATTTCAATTTTTCGATTTTTTGTTTCGATTTCTCGATTTTTCAATTTTTCATTTTTTGAAATTATAATAAATCTTTCAATTTCTCCATATTTCGATCTTTCAGTTCTTCATATCTCCAGTTTTCAATTTTTAATTTGCAGTGTTTTGATGTTTCAGTTTTCGATTTCTCGTTTTTTCCATTTATCAGTTCTCCGATATTTCGGTTTTTCAAATTTTGGATTTTTTGAACTTTTTTTTCAGTTTTCCCATATTTTAATTTTTCGATTTTTTGATGCTTTGTTTGATTTTTCGCCTTCTCATCTCGATTTTTAAAATTTCTCTTCTGATGTTTCAATTTTTCGATAGTGCCATTTCTTGATAAATTGATTTTTCAATATTTCAATTTTTCATTTTTTCATAAACAATTTTTTGATTTTTAAATTTTAGGTTTTGAATTTTTCAGTTCTTCAGTTTTTCGAATTTTCGACTTGAAAGTATTCTCGATTACCTACTGGATATTTTAATTTTTCAATTTTTAATTGTACATTTTTCGATTTCCCGATTTTTCGATTTTTCAATTCTCCACATTTCTATTTTTCAGGTTTTTGATTTTTGAACTTCAATTTTTCTTTTTCAATTTTCCGATTGTATCTATTTCAAATGTATCAGTTTTTCGATTTTTCGACCTCTCGACTTCAGATATTTTGGGTTTTCAATTTTTCGATTTACTTATCGATTTTCGTTTTAATTTTTCAATTCTTCAATTTTCCCTCAATCTCTCGAGTTTTTCGATGTTTCGATTTTTCAATTCTGAATTTCCCAATTTTTCGTCATTTCAGTTTTGCAATTTTTCAATTTTCCGATTTTTCAATATTTCCATTTTTCTAATTTTGAATTTACGATTTCTGGATTTTTCGATTTTTCAGTTCTCCGATATTTCGGTTTTTCAAATTTTGGATTTTTAAATTTTTTTTTCAGTTTTCCCATATTTTAATTTTTCAATTTTTTGATGGTTTGTTTGATTTTTCCCCTTCTCATCTCGATTTTTAAAATTCTTTGGTTTCTCAATTTCCCGATTTATCGATCTTCTGATGTTTCAATTTTTCGATAGTTCTTTGGATAAATTGATTTTTCAATATTTCAATTTTTCATTTTTTCATAAATAATTTTTTGATTTTTAAATTTTAGGTTTTGAATTTTTCAGTTCCTCAGTTTTTCATATTTTCGACTTGAACGTTTTCTCGATTCCTGTAATTTTTCAATATTTCGATTTTCCAAATTTTGAATTTTCGATTTCACGAGTTTTTACTTTTTCGCTTTTCAACTTTTCATAAAATAATTTTTTGATTTTTAAATTTTTTTCAATTTTCGGATATTTTAAATTTTCGATTTTTTGATGTTTTGCTTGATTTTTTGACTTCAAAATTTTTTAATTTATCAATTTCTCGATTTCTCGATATTTCGGTTTTTGACTGTTTCAATTTTTCAGGTTTCATAGTTTACAATTACGATTTTTAAATTTTAGATTTTCAACTTTCCAATTTCTTGATTTTTTTTACGTTTCGATATCTCGACTTTTCAATTTTTCATTTTTTAAAATTATAGATTTTTCGATTTCTCAATTTTTGATTTTCAGTTCTTTGATTTTTTGGATTTTTGAATTTAAAATTTTTCAGCTTTTGCAAGTTTCAATGGCTCGATTTTTATATATTTCGACCTCTCGGTTTCAGATTGTTCGGTTTTTAAAATTTTTATATTTTTCAATTTTTAAGTTATTAGATTTTTAGATTTTGGCCATTTCGATTTCTTAATTTCCCGATTTCTCGACTGCCCGATTTTTCCATTCTTCGATTTCCTAATTTTTCGTCATTTCAGTTTTATAAAGTTTAACTATTTATCAATATTTCGATTTTTATAATGTTGGATTTTTCATTTCTAGATTTCCCTATTTTTACTTTTTCGTTTTTCAGTTTTTCTTAATATAATTTTTAGATTTTTCAGTTCCCCGATTTTTATTTTTTTTTTTCAATTTTCCGATATTTTAATTTTTCGATTTGTTGATGTTTTGGGATTTCGGTTTTTCGATTTTGACTATTACAATTTTTGATTTTTCGATTTTTCAGTTGTTCGGTTGTGTGGAAATAATTCTATTTTAATATAATTTTTTTATAAAATGCTATATATTTGTTGTAGTTTGGTATAATAACCTTTTTAATGAAAAATATGAATAATAATAATAAAACCATATTTATTATTAGTTACTCTAAACCGTCGATTAATTCTGTAACTGGCACTTGTTCCAGCAGCTTGTTAAATATGTTTTCAAACGGAATTGAAAACACTTTCGGAAATGATTTCTGCCAGTACTCAAGACTATCTTCCCAGTTTTCCGAAATCGCGATATTTATATCTTCATTAAGCCGCGTGTTGTTGAACAAGTTTTTGAAAACTACCGCTCCCGTTTTTCCCTCCATTCTGAAGACAGTATCAACTACTTTGAGATACTTTTCGTCGTTTTTATTGTATTCCTCCAGCATGAATGTAAGTTTAAACGTAGGTTTTACTGAAATTAATTTACTAGATTTTATACAGCTAGTTCGAAGGGTAGGTACTTTACTTACTTATTGTGGAAGTGGCTGTAGTCGTGCTATTAACATACAATACAATTATTCTCCCAACCATCTGGTAATCAAACGCAAAAGTAACATTTTTGTTATAAAAAAGGGTTAACGTCAAAGTACGTTTGCCGTAGTCTAACCTGCAAGTATTTATTTTACACTTTCTTAAAACAAAAAAAAAAAAAATCCAATTCTTACTTTGCGTCTGTTTTTACGATTTTCGTCAATCCCGAAATTTTATAATTGTAATATTTTTGTCGTATGCCGTCAGTTTCGTTCCCCAGTTCGCAACGTGCCGATTCAGGCGCTGTAAACGGTTCCATTTGGGGCAAACCATAGTCGTCAATTGGTTCTTTTAACTGTTCGATGGCACCCTGAATAGCTTGGGACAAACAGCGGTCGAAATCGGACTCTCGTGTGTCGCATTTGTGAAAACCGGAAGCTGAAAAATAAATTAAGGTATTCAGTTATTTAGATTAGGAGAAATTGCACTTTGCACAACTTACGTAATTTCAAAAAGTGGTGGCTTTTGATGAGCATCAAAAGGAAAAGAAATGCTAGATTAGTTTTCATTGTTCTTTCTTGGCTGGTTGTTATAAGTAGTGTGTAGAGTATGGTTTTGAGTTTTGTATTTATTAGGTCTTTATATGTGTCAGTTGTTCATTTGCATATGCATATTTTGTCGCTGCATTGTTAGTAACACAGACGGAATAATTTGAATTTTAAATTTGTTTGCATCCCTACTTGGCTCAACGATTTTATTTTATTTAAAGATCATGCAGAAACTTATAGAAACTTATAGAAAGTGATTTACATACTTATATAAGGGGTGTTCATTTAGAAAATTCATCCAGTTGCCACTGTTGCGTTTTTAGAAATAAATTTGTGTCATCGGTCGTCCAATCTAACCTCACTTTGTCCAATGTAGTAAATGAGGAGAGTAAATAAGGCTATTTTTTTTTAATTTATACTAAAAACGGGTTTAATATTACAAAAAATGTTGAAAATGTTGCCCCTCTGCGTCAATTCATCGTAAAACCCTCCTCTCAAAATTTCTGAAAACATTTCCTAACATAATGGGATTGTTATTAATAGAGAGCGGATTTATAAGCACAAAAAAATTAGAACTTTGGATAAAATATTATTACAATAATGCTAGACTTTATATTTTACACACGTATTTCAGTTTTCTTTAAAACAATTTATGATCGTAATATGTTCCAAGTTGTCACTGTAAAATTTTTTCGCCGATCATTTAAAATGTGTTTAAAATTGGAGAATGTGTGTTCAACATCAACACTCGTTGTTGGCGCAAATTTGAATTTTGCAACTAATGTTGAATCTAACTCCAAATTTTCCACCTTCTGGCCTTGTAAAACACGAACAATGTCGGAAAGAACACCGAAACCTGCATTTTTATTTAACACTTCGTCAAGTTTTTGAGATACTCTAGTACCAATATCACCCCTTACTGCGTTTGCTTGTTGTTTAAATTCTTTCACTAAGTTTACGGCATCTAACAACAACATGTTGGGTTTTTCTAACTTTTCTATTACCTCACATACAAATTGATAATTGCTTCTTAGAAAAGCTAGATCTTGTCGCAAATCTTTGTTTTCCAAAATATTTAATAATAATAATAATAATAATAATAATGTTTATTAGTACATATAACAAAAGTCGTTGTACAAGTCACAAATTCAATACAAGGCACATTACATACATATGGATTTTTATAAGTTTAAAATCAAGTCAAAACATTGGATGGGGGCACAATTACTGAGGTAACATTGAGGAATTCATAATAATTGTAAAATGCATTTTTGATGAGATAATCTGATATTTGTCTCTTAAATTGCTTTATACCAAGATTTTGAGTACTTTCTGATAATTTATTGTAAAATTTGACAGAGTAGTAATTGAATGACTGGTTTCTTTTTAACCTTACAAAATTTGGAAGAAGTGCAGCGTTGTGACGTGTATTATACGAGTGAATATCTTTGTGTCTCATATGATTATTCATGTTAAGTTTAAGATGTAGCAGTGAATTTAATATATATATTGACGGTAGGGTTAATATTCTTAAGGATGTAAAATATGAGCGGCAATCATCCCTATAACCTATGCCAGCAAGAATTCTTATTGCTCTTCTTTGGAGCTTAAATATGCGATTACAGATGCTGGCATGACCCCATGTTAGGATACAGTATCTTAGATGCGATTCACATAAGGCAAAATATGCTGTTCTGAGCACTTGATTTGATACTTTATTTTTAAGACTCCTTAACACAAATAAGTTTTTGCTAATTCTATTGGCCAGCTCGTCGCCGTGAACTTTCCAGGTTAGTTTTGCATCCAAATATATCCCAAGGAATTGTGCTGAAGTGGTGAAATCGTGTGGAACATCGCTATTTTTTAAAGAAAATAACATAGTGGTAGTTTTTTTTGCGTTCAAGCCGAGGTCGTTTTGTCTGAACCAATCCTCAGCCCTCGATTGCGTCTCCTCCCTTTTGACGCAGATAGTCTCCGTCGATGTTGCTTGGTTTATTAGGGTTGTATCGTCTGCATACAAGATAATTTTTGAGTCTATACTAGAAGATAGGTCGTTAATAAAAATAATGAATAAGAGGGGCCCCAGCATGGACCCTTGTGGCACACCTTTTCTGACAGGAAGACAATCGGATAATTGTTCCTTATATTTGACAACCTGGTGTCTATCTTCCAGATACGATCTAATAAGTTGAATGCTAGAGGGTACCAAGTTGTAGGCTGTCAGTTTTTTGAGGAGAAGTTTATGCGAGACGCAGTCGAATGCTTTGGACAGGTCCAGAAAAGACGCAACTGCAATTTTACGATCTTCAAAGCACTGAGATATAAAATTAACTAACTCCTGAACAGCATTACCAGTGGAACGGTTTCTCCTAAAACTATATTGTGACTCAGAAAGTAAAGCATGTGATTCAAGATAAGTACAAAGTTGTTCAAATAGAATTTTCTCTAATATTTTGCCAAATATGGGAAGTAATGAGATAGGTCGATAATTAGATGGATTATTAGTATCACCCTTTTTGTATACTGGTACAGTGACCGCTGTTTTAAGACATTTGGGAAAGACGCAATATTTTATGCAAAAGTTAATAAGTTTTGCAAGTGGAGGTATCAGCAAGTCCTTTATACTTTTGACAATTTTCACATTAAGACTAAAGATATCAGAAGAATTACTATTTTTCAGGTTATCTATAGCTTCTCTCACTTTTATGTGTGACACTTCTTTAAAACTGAAACTAGGGCTATTAATCAAGGAGTGAGTAGACTTACTTGCTATATCACAGAGTTCAATATCACAGTCATTATTGCTTTGCGTTCCCAATTTTGAAATTTCATTTATAAAATCGTTGTTAAAATCGTCACAGGTCATATCACAGCTTAATTTTTGACTATTAACACGTTTATTGTGAGTTTCGTTGATAATTTTCCACATAGCCTTGACTTTATTACTTGCAGTAGAGATGAATTTTTCGTTACAAAGCATTTTCTTTTCATTTATTTTGTCACGATATTCTTTCCTAAACGAGTTTTTTTGCTGACTTGGTTTGTTCACTCCCAATTAGATTATTTATTTCACATAAATGTTGTAATGATTCCCGCATTTGAATTAATTCACTATCAAACCACTTTACAGTTTTGTTGTTGTTAGGTTGACGCTTGAGTACTTTTAGAGGGAAGGCTTGCCCTACATGACCTTCTATTAGATTTACAAATTTTGTGAACAAGTCGTCAACTGAATTATTACTGCATAGCTTAATGAAGTCCCAGTTGATATTGGACACCGACTCGTACAATTTGAATTTACCAAAAGCAGTAATTGGCCTATGTTTAATAAGCTGTTTTTTTTGTTTGTTTTTAGTAGACGAAATTAACACTTTAATTTTGATGCCTCTAAGATCTGATAGGTGTAAATTTCATGGACTAATTTGAAAAAGTGCGTGATCTAGATTTGTAAAAACGTTATCCAGACAGTTGTTATTTCTAGTTGGAAATTCGACTAAGTGAAAAAGCCCGTAAGTTCTCATAAAATCTAATAAGCAATCTTTTAAGGGGTCTTCTTTGTCAAATTTTACATTAAAGTCACCAGTCAATATTATGTTGTTCTTTAATGTGTTAATTATACCAAAAACTTTTACTAAAGTACTCAAAAATTTGTTCAGATCTCCAGAGGGTGATCTATAGACATTTATCACATAAATTTCTAGGTTATTCATATAAATTCCAGATATCTCACCATGTTTCTCAATTGAGAGTTGTTCGAGATTTTGGAGACGAGTGCAAGAAACCTCAGCGTTCCTCATAATCATTGTGCCCCCATGTTTCGTTGAGTTTCTGGAAAAATAAGACTCAGTTACAAAATTATTGACACGTATTTGGTCAGCTTCTACTGCCATCAACCAATGTTCACAAAAGGTAAGTCATCGTCTGCTACTGCTGCCTCAAATTCCGCTAGTTTAGCCCTCAGTGATTGGATGTTGATTTACAGAATGTTCAAATAGCCTTGTACCTCTAAGGCAACGCGGTCTTCTTTAGTATCCGATGAAAAAAACGATTGACACAGCTGCCAGGAGGCCAGGTTTCAGGTTTCATAGCTACGTCTTGGTCTTTATGATCAATGGTCACTTTGAAGCTTGAATATAGGTCCGGATATCTTGACTGCAGCTTTTCAACTCCGAAAGTGCATATATTTGATATGCAGAGGTGATCTTTGATATCCTTTGTAGTCGTTGAAGGATTTAGTCGATACACGTGGATGAAGCTTCTTCGTGGGACTGCTTTGAGGGTACTATTATCCACCGAGCATCCAATTATCGGTTTGTTGGATTCTCTGCGATGTCTTTTTTTGCTTTTGACTTTATTCCAGTTATCGTCTTCATTCTGCAGTGTCTTATTATTGTCCAGGTTTTCGTTATCGTCCTGAACTGGCTCCTGGAGTTCGCTATAACCACGAAATGTCTTCTTTGCTTTCTTATCTTTATCTCCTTGATTTGGTGTATTGGCTTGATTAGATGGCGAGTCTTGCGTTTTTTTCTGTTGTTTATCGTTGGTGCTTTTGAGCGGGAGCAGCTTACTGTTTTTGACAATTTCATTAATTTCTTGTGATGTCGTTTCTGGATTATGATTATTGGAAATTCCTCCCTCCTGCTTAATTATGATGTTATTTAGCAAGGTTATTTGCTTGTGGAGTATGTCCAAGTTGGCACATAAACTTTTTATGTGCAAGTCTTTCTCCTTCATCAGTTTTTTTAGATACTTATTTTCTACCTTTGCGGTGTCAGAATTCTCAATTGCAGAACTAAAGGATTCATCATCCAATTCGTTGTCGGGGTCATTAATTGAAACAGCAACTTCTTTTTGGGAGATGCTGTTGGTCATTTTCTTCTCTGGCAATGTCGTCGGAGTCACCTTGGAACCACAGCACATAACCTCACCAGGAGCAATTTCCACAACATCTTTAAGATATTTAATGCACCCTGGATGAAAAACTGCATTGCACTGTACACATTTTAGGCCTTGCGTTGGAATATTGCCACACTTTTTGCACATTTTTGTAGCGTTCGAGTTACTTTTGAGCTGCCCCGTCACGGTCGCCATCTTGAAAATGCAATTTTTAATCGATTGAGAAGAATCTTCGCTAAACTCCGTAACTACTTCCTCAAATTCTTTGATATACTCGTATTTGTCATAATAAAATGTGGCCTGTAACCATGTTCCCCACCTCGTTATAATCGGCTCTGGGGGCAATGGTATGTTTGGACATTTTTCCTTAAAATGTTGCACTCTTAGTGGGGCTTTAACAAAAATCTATTTACCATTTGTAACTAATTTATTAACAGTAGGAAACTGCAAACGTATTCCTTCAGCCACTCTGTTTAAACCGTGGGCAATGCAAGTAGAGTGAATTAAATTGGGGTACAATATTTTTAGATTATTCCCTGCTTTCAACATATAACGAGCTGCATCCGAAATCATCAATAAAATTTTATTTGGCAAAAATAGTGACGTAAGACTGTCATTTACAAATCTGGTAATCGTATTGCCATTTGTTTTATCTAACATTTTCAAACTTACTACATACCCTCGACTAGGTAAATTTTCATTTAAGATTCCAACAATTAAACTTGCCACGTATCTTCCACAACTATCGGTTGTTTCATCGACAGCGAACCATAAATAATTATCTTCAATGCGATGTTTAATTTCGTTGTAAACTTGCTGAAACACTGGGCCTACATAATTTTTTCGGAGATTACTTTCAACCGGAATATGTCGATTGCAGTGTTTTTCAAGGAATTCTTGAAGAGGGCTTTTCTCCAATTTTTTTAAAGGTATATTGGACTGGATCATCATTTTACATAAATCGAAATTAAACTGAAACTGCTCATCTTTTGTGGAAGTAGATGCAACAGATTCATGTAAGGTCTTCTGTTTAATTTTAGAAACTTCAAACATTTTCTTCCTTTCTACATGAAGAGTCGTTCTGACATGTTGCGTCACGTTATATTTTTTATCACTTTGAATCTAAAACAACGTACATATACAGGATTGACAAAGGAAAATAGATACAAAAAAATGAGTGGGCTTACGGTTTTCACACAAGCTCTGCAGAATAGTTTGTTGTTTTCTAATTTTAATTCTGGAAAATCCCTTATCCACTCATCCGGCGTCGATTTTACTTTCGGCATTCTTTTAAAATATTAGTAATATTACCAAAAAGAACTCAACATGTAACAAGGGAAAACCACATATAACACTGTACTACGACAGATGCGATAGACTGATGGTTGTGAAATAAACGGTTCATTTACTTAAAAGTTTCCATTAGAAAAATTTTAAGGTAGGTAGTTGGGTACAATAATCCTGCCGAAAAAGAACATCTGGTTAAAAGCTTTAATTTATTATCAACGGAACTAAAAATTTAAAGTCATAAAATCTATGGAGTATTTTTCCAATCCTATAATAAAATTTTATTACCCAAACGACCGGAACCTATTCACAGAAAGGGTCTTGAGTAAGTGTACTTCAATGGTCAAGTCCAGGTAAAATGCATACGATACGATACGGCTAACTAACAAGTATTTGTCATCCCGACAAGGCCGGCATTTGAACAAAATATGCATTAAAACTCATATTCGTCGAAAAAAGCATTAAATAAGCATACAAGTTTTAATATGCATAAAATTGAAAAAAAACAAATAAGCATAAAAAAATGTGTCAAATGACTCCAAATTGTATCATAGTTACAGATATAAAAAAGTTTTGAAGTGCTTACATTTTTCACAAAAAGCATTAAACCTAGAAATCTGCTCTCTAGTTATTAATCTGCAGAGATTTAATTGAGGCTCTAAAAGGGAAAAAATTCAAAAAATGATCCGAGCAAACAATCACTAAATCTTTGAAGCTTAAATTTGGATGTGGGAGCAGTGGATATAACTTACTAAGAAAAATGAAACTACCATTTCCAGCTATTCGAACATTGAATTTTCATTTACAAAATTTAGAGTTTAAATCTGGAGTTTTGGATGAAATTATAGGATTTTTGAAAATTAAATGTGAATCGCTTAATCAGGATTTTGGAAGGGATTGTATGGTGGCATTGGACGAAATGGATATAAAAGCTGGGATTGATTATTGTGTATATAGTGGGACGTATATTGGGGGAATTACTTTACCAAAACATGAGGGAGTAGCGACAAAAGCGTTGGTAATTCTTGCGGGAGATCTTACTACTCGCTGGAAACAAATCGCTTCATACTATTTTACTGGAGACAGTGTGAATGGGGCAGTTCCAGCTGATGTTCTTAAAGACGTTTTTAAGAAAATCAGTGCAATTCATTCTGTAACCTCAGATATGGGATCGGCGAATCAAGCTATGTGGAAAATCTTTGGAATAAAAGCTGGAAGAAAATGCGAAACAAAAAATTATGTCCTAAACCCAGTTAATGTGCGAAAAAATCTACTTTTTAGCAGATGGGCTACATTTATTAAAAAATATAAAGAAAAGAATGACTTGTGTATTTAGTTGGATTTGCCAGTTTAAGGAAAGTTGCAATTTTTCTGGGAATTTTTCCAAAGGTGTTAATTCCTACATTTTGGCGAGTACATTTACCTTTATAATAGTGTAAAAAAAGCCTCAATGGTGAATTTGTGGGTCGTAAAGCAACATAACGTCTATACAAATCAATGGTATTAACACCAAAGCCTTCATTATCTACACTGAATCTTCTTTCTTTGTGGGTTTTACTGTCAGGTATAACAATATTCAGAACATTACCACAATCTTGTATATCGTCAAATCTCATAGCACACAATTCGGCCTCTCTGCAAGCTCCGGCAATTCCAAAGATTAACGCAACCTACACGATTTCATATGTATAAAAAATACTTCTTATTAAGTAATTCTTACCTTCTCGAATAAATATTCTCCGTCATCAGCTTCTTGCAAGAAAGTTTTGATTTCTTCTGGTGTCAGAACGTTGGATTTTTTGCCACGATAACCAACATGTAATTTTTTTATATACGAAATAACAGCACCAAATTTTTCAATATCTATGTTTTCTTTTGCTTTTAGAGTGGCCTTTAACATTGAATATTCTGGCCATAAAGAACAAGGTGACAAGTTTTGCGACTGTAATTGTTAAATAATTTGGTTTTATGAATTTTACTAAATATGTACTCACTCTCATGTCCAAAAAAGATAACATCTTCGGTTACTTCCTTGATGCGGTTTTTATTTTTCCAGTCTTGGAACGAAACATATACATTCTCGTATGCATTTTTTGACTTTAAGGGTAACAAATTGCTGCGCAATTCTTTTCCCTTTTTCGCAATTTCTTCCGGAACGTTTTCGCACATTTTGACGATGAAAATTGTTTTTTTCAAAATTTGTTTACTTGTCATAGTTACAATATACAGTAATCTTACTATGATACTATGAAGCTTCACAAATGATTTGTCAAAATTTGTAGTAATGAATTGATCAAAAAGGAGTTGATGAATTACTCTTAGTGCTTGAAAAAATCTTGAAGCCAATACGTGTTTTATAGTTTAAAAATCTCGCTCTATAAAATCTTCGCTCCCTTCGGTGGCTCGGACTTTAACTACGATCTTGATTTTTAAACTGTCTATAAAACACTAGTTGTCTTAATAGCTATTAAACTAGACTAATTCATCTGTGTAAGGGATGTATACAACCCAAAAAAGTTGGCTTTCCGAAAATTATACAAGCTGTTTTTATCACATAAAGGAGTCTTAGGATTCTTCTGGTATTTGAAATAGAAATCAATATAAAAAAAAACGCGACTGTTGCTTATTTTATCGCAAATAATTTTATGGATAGAGAGCCTTATCTTACTGTACATTAACAACAACAACTAAGCACCCATCATTATTTCCATATTGCCATTTTATCACGTGCCATTAGTGCACCTGCTCTATGTTTAAAACTTCTTTATCAGTGTTAATATTTGAAAGCATACAGAACTTTGTTCATGTAAAACAATGTTCTTCAATTTTTTATTTATAACGATGTTTTACATTTCCAGTAATGGGCTTATCATACATAAAAAAAAATAACGCTTGTTCACGTTTGATCTATTACCCTGTGAAAGATTTTAGCCCGAATTGTTACCTAAAACAGAACGTCGTCGCTTCTACCGTAATAGCAACAACAAAAACTAGAAGTCTAAAGATTTTAACAAAAACTTTTAGCCTGAAATGATTCAACTGAATGGTTACAAATTCGAAACACATGAAATAGTAACAGACGATGGTTATAAATCGCTGGCTTTTCGTATACCGCCAAAAATTCACGACGATAGAAAGAAAAAACAACCCATCGTCTTAGAACATGGTATTCAGGTTAATTCGGAAGTATGGACATGGAGGGGAAACAGATCTCTTGGTATAGTGCGTTGCTTCGGTTAATTCCTCACTCACAGTATTATAGCTTTCGTTTTGGTCAATGCTGGTTATGACGTATGGTTGGTCAATCAAAGAGATAGCGGTTACACCACCCATGTTAAGTACAAAATGTCAGATTTTAAATTTTGGGCCAACAGGTATGTCAATTCAAATAATTAAATAACATTTCTAACTGATGGTTTCAGCCTTGATACTGTTGCAACTAAAGGAATCTCAGCAATTTTAAGTACAGTTGCTACAGCAACTAGTAAATCAGGTTCTATTATTTACATTGGTCATTCTAGAGGGGCTACTTTGGCTTTTATGTACGCTGCTGAGTATCCAGAAGAAGCCCAAAAAATTCTGAGAGGTGTGGTCGCTCTGTCTCCCATTGTATATTTCGAACCCGTTTTCTATATGAAAATACTTTTCCAATTATCACCTGTACTTAGTGTAAGTTTCTCCACTTTAATTTTCTTCTAGTAGCAACTTCTTCTTTGTTGTGCAGAAAATCGTCAACGTATTGAGAATCCCAGTGATAAACTATCCAGTCGAATATACAGCAAAGTTTTATCAGTTTCTTTGTACTTTTTTCCCATACATTTGTAAGCTCATTATTACTTTGACGTCTGGCAGCTCGTCTCAGTTGTCACCGGTAATTTTCTTTTTCTTTACAGATAGAGAACTTTTGCTTTTACACTTACTGTTTCATTATAGGATGATCTTTTGTCAATGGTTTCGATTCTTCCCGTTCCAGTGTCACTCATGCAAGTTCTACAATATGCTCAAATGTTCCACTCTCGAAAATTCCAAAAGTATGACTATGGAAGAAGAGGAAATATTATAAAATATAATCAAGAGCAGCCCCCTTTGTATAATCTGACTAACTGTAAGCTTCCTGTGTACATGTTTTATGGTAATTGTGACATCTTCATCAAGGAAAAAGTAGTGTGATTCTTTGTTCTTTCTGGTTAAAAATGTTTGTTTCCAGGCTGTGAAAAGAGTTTTTGAGGAACTTGGAAGCAGCGAAAAAGAATATTTTCGGGTACCAAGTGGAACTAACACCGAGAAGTTGAAGTTTGGTCATAATGATTACTTTTTTTCTGAAGACATCGAGGAGTTATTTTACAAGGATCTCTTTCGAGTACTGGATAAATTGCACTCCAAGAAATAACTTTGCTTGATGCAGATATAAGGATGGAAATAGAAATAAATATTTGTTTTATGCATCTTTTACTTTAAAGTTCTGCGCCGGTACTTTTCACAATAAAATGTCAAAGTTAACATGATGAATTTTTTAAATGAACTCCCGTTATATTATACTCCTACATATAAATGAAAAGAATGTATGTGTGTATGTATGAATGCTCTGAATCTGAAACGATCCAACCTTGAACCTTACGGAAAAACGCATACCTATTTATGATTTTACAAACAATGTATGCCAAAAATACACTTAGTCCTGATATTGTATTGATAAATATTCACTTATTTATTCGTAAAGAAAATACGTAGTTAAAAAAATAAATAAAACATTTTTATTATTGTGTGAAAGCAAAAATTATCATATTGTGATTTTTAGAAAACTGTGACTGCACACGCATAACACAGATTTTACAGAAAATTTAAATTGCATTTTTTTTTATCACATCATATTTAAATAAATATTTAAAATTCTGTATTAGGGTTTTAATTGTCGTATAACCAAACAATACTGATTCTAACAATGTAACTTTTACTGCACTAGTATTTTTCAATTTCTGTCAAGAAAACTTTCTTTGTTACTTGCACAAAAGTGTACTTATTTAAAATTTTCAATTTTTTGTATTACTGAATATTTTAAAGTCAAACAGCGGCAGAGGTTGTAGGGTACGGTTTGAAATAATTTTTGTAATGAAGTGTCTGACAGCTGTCTTTGTCTCTGAGTTCAATGTTTTTAAACTGGAGCGATGACTTGGACGCGACACATTAACTGAGACAGGTCACACTCGTTGTCACACGCATTGTTTGAGGCACGATTTGATTTCAAACATACCTTATTGGAAGAAAAGACTTCTTATTGATTATCTTTATATATTTTTTTAATAATTACAATTTATTAACTCCTACTTCATCGCAGATCAATTGCAAAATTGTCAATAATAAAAAAATTAAGTTTTTTTTTTAATTTATAAACATGAATGTAATTACATTCCACTTTCATTACTCGAATCAGTATTGTTCATGGGTAGTACAGTAAAAACCTATACCAGAATTTCAAGTTCATTTTAAATGTATGTTGTCCTTTATATCTTTTTATCTTTTTATTCTTTTAATCCTTTCTATCTATTCTATCCTGTCTATCCTTTCCATCCTTTCTCTCCTTTCCAACCTTTCTCTCCTTCCGGTCCTCTCGTCCTCTCATCATTTTATCCTTTCATCCTTTCATCCCCTTACACTTTCATCCTCTTATCAACACCATCATCCTCAAATCCTTAGAACAGCATAATCTTCAAATTCTCAAAACATCATTATCCTCAAATACTCAGAACTCCATAATCCTTAAATCCTCAAAACATCAGAATCCTCAAATCGTCAAAACTTCAGAATCCTCAAAACCTCAAAACATCAGTATCCTCAAATCCTCAGAACACCATAATTCTCAAATCCTCAGAACTTCATAATCCTTAAATCCTCAGAACACCATAATCCTCAAATCCTTAGAACACTATAATCCTCAAATCATCAAAACATCAGAATCCTCAAATCATCAAAACATCAGAATCCTCAAAGCCTCAAAACATCAGAAACTCAAATCCTCAAAACACGAGAATCATCAAATCTTCAAAACATCATTATTCTCAAATCCTCAGAACTCCATAATCCTCAAATCCTCAGAACTCCATAATCCTTAAATCCACAGAACACCATAATTCTCAAATCCTCAGAACACCATAATCTTCAAATCCTCAGAACACAAAAATCCTCAAATACTCAAAACAACAAAATCCTCAAATATTCAGAACACCATAATTCCCAAACCTCGAAATATCAGAATACTCATCTCCTCGAAGGACGAAAAGGACGAAAAAGACGAAGGACGAAAAGGATGAAGGACGGAAAGAACGAACAGGACGAAAGACGACAAGGATGAAGGACGAAGGACAAAAAGGACGAAGGATGAAAAGGACGGAAAAGACGAAGGATGAAGGACGAAAAGTATGACGGACGAAAATGACGAAGGACGAAACCCACGAAGAAAGAAAAAGGCGAAGGACGAAAAGTACAACAACGAAAAGGATGAATAGGACGAAGGACGAACAGGACGAAAAGGACGAAAAAGGACGAAAAGCACAAATGGGATGAAAAACGATAATGAGGACTAAAGAGGACGACAAGGACGTGATAAGGACGAAAAAGGACGAAAATGGACGAAAAGGGTGAAAAGGACGAAAATGGAAGAAAAGCACGAGAAGGACGAAAAAGGACGAAAACGACGGAAAGGACGAAACACGACGAAAAAAGACGAAAAGGACGAAAAAGGACGAGAAGGACGAAAAAGGACGAGAAGGACGAAAAAAGACGAAAAGGACGAACAAGGACGAATAAGGACGAAAAAGGACGAAAAAGACGAAATATGACGAGAAAGGATAATAAAGACTAAAAAAGACGGAAAGGACGAAAAGGACCAAAAAAGACGAAAAAGGAAGAGAAAGACGAAAAAGAATAATAAGGGCGAAAAAGGATAATAAGGACGAAAAAGGACGAAGAGGACGAAAAAGGACGAAGAGGACGAAATAGGATTATAAGGACGGAAAAGGACTAAAAGGACGAAAAGGACGAAAAAGAATACCAAGGACGAAAAAGGACGGAAAGGCCAAAAAAGGACGAAAAGGACGAAAAAAGACGAAAAATCAAGACAAGGAAGAAAAAGGATAATGAGGACGAAAAAGGACGAAAAAGAACGAAAAGAAAAGAAAAGGACGAAAAAGGATAATAAGGACAAAAAAAGACGAAAAAGGACGAAAAGGGCGAAAAAGACGAAAATAGACGAAAAGCACGAGAAGAACGAAAAAAGACGAAAAGGACGGAAAGGACGAAAAACGACGAAAAAAGAGGCAAAGGACGAAAAAGGACGAGAAGGACGAAAAAGCACGAAGAGGACGATAAAGGACGAAAAAGGGTAATAAGGACGGAAAAGGACGAAAAGGACGGAAAGGGACTAAAAGGACGAAAAAGGACGAAAAGGACCAAAAAGGGACGAAAAGGATGAAAAAGGGTGAACAAGGACGAAAAAGGGCGAACAAGGACGAAAAAGGGCGAAAAGGACGAAAAAAAAACGGAAAGGCCGAAAAAGGACGAAAAATCAAGACAAGGAAGAAAAAGGATAATGAGGACGAAAAAGGACGAAAAGAAAGGAAAAGAACGAAAAAGGATAATAAGGAGAAAAAAGGACAAAAAGGGATAATAAGAACGAAAGAACGAAAAAGGACGAAAGAGGACGATTAGGACGAAAAGGACGGAAATGGACGAAACAATGTGAATCAGGACGAGAAGGACGACAAAAGAACGAAAAAGGACGAAAAAGGACGAAAAGGACGAAAAATGTCGAGAAGTACGAAAAAGATGAAAAGGACGAGAAGGACGAAAAATTACGAAAAGGACGAAAAAGGATAATAGGGACGAAAAAGGACGAAAAGGACGAAAAGGATGAAAAAGGACGAAAAAGGACGAACAAGGACGAAAAAAGACGAAAATGACGAAAAAGAATAATAAGGATGAAAAAGGACGAAAAGGCCGAAGGAGGAAAACGACGAAAAAGGAGCAAAAAGGACGAAAAGGACGAAAAAGGACGACGGAGGGTAATAAGGACGAAAAAGGACGAAGAGGACGAAAAAGGATAATAAGGACGAAAAAGGACGAAGAGGACGAAAAAGGACGAAAAAGGATAATAAGGACGAAAAAGGACGAAAGAGGACGAAAGAGGACGAATAGGACGAAAGAGGACGAATAGGACGAAAAGGACAGAAATGGACGAAACAGGATGAAATAGGACGAGAAGGACGAAAGAAGACGAAAAAGGACAAGAAGGACGAAAAAGGATGACAAAAGAACGAAAAAGGACGAAAAAGGACGAAAAGGACGAAAAATGTCGAGAAGTACAAAAAAGGATGAAAAGGACGAAAAGGACGAAAAATTACGAAAAAGACGAAAAAGGATTGTAAGGACGGAAAAGGACCATAAGGACGAAAAAGGATAATAAGGACGAAAAAGGCCGAAAAGAACAAAAAAGGGACGAAAAGGACGAAAAAGGACGAACAAGGACGAAAAAAGACAAAACGGACGAAAAAGAATAATAAGGATGAAAAAGGACGAAAAGGCTGAAGAAGGAGGAAAAGGACGAAAAAGGAGCAAAAAGGACGAAAAGGACGAAAAAGGACGACAAAGGATAATAAGGACGAAGAGGACGAAAAAGGACGAAGAGGACGAAAAAGGATATTAAGGACGAAAAAGGACGAAAAAGGACGAAAAATCACGATAAGGAAGGAAAAGGACGAATAGAACGAAAAAGGATAATAAGAACGAAAAAGGACGAAAAGGACGAAAAAGGATGACAAGGAAGAAAAAGAACGAATAGGACGATAAAGGATAATAAGAACGAAATGGACGAAAAAGTACGCTTAGGACAAAAAGGATAATAAGGACGAAAAAGGATGTAAAAGGACGAAAAGGACGAAATATGATTATAGCGACGAAAAAGGACGGAAAGGACGAAAAAAGACCAGAATGACGAAAAGCACGAAATAGGACGAAAAGGACGAAAAAAGACCAAAAGGAGACAAAGGACGAAAAAGGACGAAAAGGACGAAAAGGACAAAAAGGAGGAACAGAACGAAAAGGAAGAAAAGGATGAACAGCACCGAGGACAGAAAGAACAGTAATGAGAGAAAGGTTGGAAATGATAGAAAGGATAGACAAGACAGAAAAGATAGAAAGGATAAAAAGAATAAAAAGGACAAAAAAATAAAAAGAACAAAAAGGACGATAGAGACGAGAAGGAGGAAAAGAACGAAATGAGGAACAGGACGAAAGTGACGAAAAGGAAGAGGTTGAAGATTATGCTGTTCTAAGGACTTTAGGATTATGATGTTTTGAGGATTTGAGAATTATGTTGTTCTGAGGATATGAGTATTTCGCTGTTCTGAGAATTTGAGAATTATCGAGTTCTAAGGATCTGAGGATTATGGTGTTTTGAGTATTTGAGAATTATAGTGTTTTGAGGATTTGAAGATTATGGTGTTCTGAGGATTTGAGGATTTTGGTGTTTTGAGGATTTGAGGATTATGGAGTTTCGGTGGTTTTTGGAGAATCACTCCACTCCTTTTTTGTGTCTCACTCCCTCCGCTATACTATTCGATTTCCACACTCCGTGTGCCTTGCGGGATATAATGTCACCTCTAGCATCTACAAGGAGAGTGGCAGACGTGCGACGTAAGCAATGTCCGCTATATTCATTGAGATTTTCCAATTTTAAAAATATAGCTACTTCTCGTGGAACATCGATAATCTTGTGAATCCCAACTACTTGTCGTTGACACTTTCCATTTAGGTATTTAATGAAAAATCGACTATCATGAAAATTTTGTGCTCAAAGAGCTATATATTTCTGGTAAATATTAAAATATTCTTCTCCCATAACGGTAAATAATCTTGGCTTTTTACTTTTCGTATGAGGAATCGTTACAAGTAAACCTGATTTAACATTTTCAATACTGTGTATATTCCTGACAACGGCATGCGCCACTCATTCCGAAGATACAACAACCTAAAGGACATTTTATATAGTGCAATCATTTCATTAATTTAAGTTGTAAATTTACTTTCGTAAATAAATATTTTTCATTTGGAGCATGGCTTAAAAAATCTTCTATTTGGTCATTTGTTAAAACTCTTGATTTCTTTGACTTGTAATCTTCCGCTTGTTTCTTCAAAAACGCTCTTAGTATTGAAAATTTTTCTATATCTATGCCTTTTTTTATATTTAAACTCGCCTTTATCATCGAATATTGCGACCATAGAGTGGATGATTTTTTTGTTTTTGCCAAATCGGAAAATACACTAGCAAAACGTTCTCGGAATAGGTTTCAGTGTTTTTGTATGTGCACCATCTCCACAAATAATTATTTTTATTATGATTATTTTATGTTTTTATTAATTTTCGTGGAAATAAACCCCCACAAAAAAAAAAGAAAAAAGAACAGACAAGTTTACTCTAAACCATCCACTAATTCTCTGACTGGCACTCGTTCCAACAGATTGTTAAATATGTTTTCAAACGGATCCGAAAATATTTTCGGGAATTTTCGTTGCCAGTACTCCAAATTTTCTTCCCAGCTTTCTTCAATCGCGATATTTATATCTTCATTAAGCCGCTGATTTTTGAACAAGTTTCTGAAGAGTACCGTTCCCGATTTTGCGTCCATCCTTAATACAGTGTCTTCGACTTTCAAATACTTTTCGTTGTCTTTCTCGTATTCCTCCAAAGTGAATTTTAATTTAAATGTGGGTTTAACTGAAACAAATTTAGTAGATTTTATATGGTTTGAAGTGTTACTTACTCATCGTAGAAGTCGCTGTGGTTGTGGTATTAATATACAACACAATTATCCTCCCAACCATCTGGTAATCAAAGTCAAAAGTGACATTATCATAAAGGAGGGTTAATGTTAAAGTACGTCGGCTATAGTCTAATCTGTAAGTGTTCGTTTCACACTTTCTTAAAACAAAAAAAATGGACACAGAAACTTACTTTGCATCAGTTTTTACGATTTTAGTCAAACCCGAAATTTTATAATTGTAATATTTTTGTCGTATGCCGTCAGCTTCGTTTCCGAGTTCGCAACCCACAGATTTAGGCGCTATAAACGGTTCCATTTGGGGCAAACCATAGTCGTTAATTGGTTGCTTTAATTGTTCGATGGCACCCTGAATAGCTTTGGATAAACACCGGTCGCAATCGGGTTTTCGTATGTCGCATTTTTGGAAACCGGAAGCTGAAAATGTATTTAGTTGGATTAGGAGAAATAGCAGTTCGTACAACTTACGTAATTTCAAAAATTGGTGGTCTTTGATTAGCGTCAGAACGAAAAAAATTGCTAGGTTGGTTTTCATTTTGCTTTCTTGGGTGGTTACTGGTTTAATGCGACGTGTGGGATATGATTTTAGGTTTTATATTTATACGTTTAGATATTTATCGTTTACTGATTTGCATATGTATAATTTGTCGCGGCATACTAATTTGTCAATAATACACAATGCGAATATTTTGGATTTGTACGTTATCTGCATCCGTGTATAACGATTTTGTTTTATATTCATTATGCAAAAAAGTACAGACGGTATATAGGGTGTTCATTTTATCTGTTTACGTCTGACAGTTTTTGCATAGGCAAGATATTATACACCCCAGAGACGACAATCGTCCAGTGTTGATATTCATTTTCTTCTCCACATTACAAGAACGAAGTTGATTGTAATGATGATAACCATCATCTAGTTCTACTAAATAGTGTAGATTACTAATACATTTTGTAATTATTCCATATTTCCATAATCCATGTCTGGAATAATTTCTGGATCGAATTCTATCGCCCACTTGAAAATGGTTCTCGAAACTCGATTTGTTTTCCTTTTTTGCTGATTCAGTGGGTCTCATAAAATCTAACTTGGTTCGTACAATTCTTCCTAAAAAGAGTTCAGAAGGTGTCTGTCCAGAACTTACAAAGTTTTGCGTGTAAATCACCGGGTTCATTCATCATTAGAGAGCGGATTTATAAGCACAAAAAAATTAAGAATAAGCGCTTAAATAAGCGCAACACTTTCATTAAAAAAGTTTTATTTTAAGCAAAAAAGCATTAAAAACATAATCATATTACAAATCAAAGAACACTTCTTAGAACTTTGGATAAAATATTATTACAATAATCCTAGACTTAATATTTTACACGCGTATTTCAATTTTCTATAAAACAATTTATGATTGTAATATGTTCCAAGTTGTCCACTGTAAAATTTTTTCGCCGATCATTTAAAATGTGTTTAAAATTGGAGAATGTGCGTTCAACATCCACACTCGTTGTTGGCGCAAATTTGAATCTTGCAACTAATGTTGAATCTAACTCCAAATTTTCCACCTTCTGGTCTTGTAAAACACGAGCAACGTCGGAAATAACACCGAAACCTGCATTTTTATTTAACACTTCGTCAAGTTTTTGAGATACTCTAGTACCAATATCACCCCTTACTGCGTTTGCTTGTTGTTTAAATTCTTTCACTAAGCTTATGGCATCTACCAACAACATGTTGGGTTTTTCTAACTTTGCTATTACCTCACATACGAATTGATAATTGCTTCTTACAAGAGCTAGATCTTGTCGCAAATCTTTGTTTTCCAAAATATTTATGCAATCTTTAATCGATTGAGAAGAACCTTCGCTAAACTCCGTAACTACTTCCTCAAATTCTTTGATATATTTGTCATAATAAAATGTGGCCTGTAACCATGTTCCCCACCTCGTTATAATCGGCTCTGGCGGCAGTGGTATGTTTGGAAATTTTTCCTTAAAGTGTTGCACTCTTAGTGGGGCTTTAACAAAAATCTTTTTACCATTTGCCACTAATTTATTAACAGTAGGAAACTGCAAACGTATTCCTTCAGCCACTCTGTTTAAACCGTGGACAATGCAAGTAGAGTGAATTAAATTGGGGTACAATATTTTTAGATTATTCCCTGCTTTCAACATATAACGAACTCCATCCGAGATCATCAATAAAATTTTATTTGGCAAAAATAGTGACGTAAGACTGTCATTTACAAATCTGGTAATCGTATTGCCACTTGTTTTATCTAACATTTTCAAACTTACTACATACCCTCGACTAGGGAAATTTTCATTTAAGATTCCAACAATTATATTTGCCACGTATCTTCCACAACTATCGGTTGTTTCATCGACAGCGAACCATAAATAATTATCTCTAATGCGATGTTTAATTTCGTTGTAAACTTACTGAAACACTGGGCCTACATAATTTTTTCGGAGAGTACTTTCAACCGGAATATGTCGATTGCAGTGTTTTTCAAGGAATTCTTGAAGAGGGACTTTCTCCAATTTTTTTAAAGGTATATTGGACTGGATCATCATTTTGCATAAATCGAAATTAAACTGAAACTGCTCATCTTTTGTGGAAGTAGATGCAACAGATTCATGTATGGTCTGCTGTTTAATTTTAGAAACTTCAAACATTTTCTTCCTTTCTACATGAAGAGTCGTTCTGACATGTTGCGTCACGTTATATTTTTTATCATTTTGAATCTAAAACAACGTACATATACAGGATTAACAAAGGAAAATAGATAAAAAAAATTTTGTGGGCTTACGGTTTTCACACAAGCTCTGCAGAATATTTTGTTGTTTTCTAATTTTAATTCTGGAAAATCCCTTATCCACTCATCCGGCGTAGATTTTACTTTCGGCATTCTTTTAAAATATTAGTAATATTACCAAAAAGAACTCAACAAGGGAGAACCACGTATAACACTGTACTACGACAGATGCGATAGACTGATGGTTGTGAAATAAACGGTTCATTTACTTAAAAGTTTCCATTAGAAAAATTTTAAGGTAAGTAGTTGGGTACAATAATCCTTTTTTCTAGAATCTTCAACGGTCTTGCCACAAAATGCCGAATAAGGACATCTGGTTAAAAGCTCTAATTCATTATCAACGGAAGTAAGGATTTAAAGTTATAAAATCTATGAAGTATTTTTCCAATCCTATAATTAAATTTTATTACCCAAACGATCGGAACCTATTCACAGAAAGGGTGTTGAGTAAGTTTACTTCAATGGTCAAGTCCAGGTAAAATGCATACGACCATACGGCTAACTAACAAGTATTTGTCATCCCGACAAGGCCGGCATTTGAACAAAATATGCATTAAAACTCATATTCGTCGAAAAAAGCATTAAATAAGCATATAAGTTTTAATATGCATAAAATTGAAAAAAAAAGAAAATAAGCATAAAAAAAAATGTGTCAAATGACTCCAAATTGTATTGTAAAGTTTTTAAGTGCTTACATTTTTCACAAAAAGCGTTAAACCTAGAAATCCGCTCTCTAGATATAAGAACTCCTTCACTGGCTATCTCAGCTTTAGCTTTTTTGAACACTGTTTCACATGCGATAGATCATTTATAAAATTTGTGTCTTTTCTTAACAGGCGGTTTAATAGATATAACATGCTGGGTGCACTGGGAATAAATTTTGTATAATACATCACCATTCCAAGAAAACGTTGAAGTTCTTCTAAAGAGTTCGGCCTTGGTGCTTTTATGACCGCTTTTTCGAGTCCTTTTTCTAAAATGACATGACCCAAATATTGAATTGTCTTCTTGAAAAATTGAAATATTTCTCGATTCAGATGCAGATTATCCGGTCTACATCAACCAGTAGCAAGAGCAGAGGAGGAGGAGTTCTGATTGCAGTTTTGAACACCTTTCAGTCAGAAGTTATTGACTACGACTTGTACTCAACTCGTGAAGAAATATGGGTAGTAATTTACATAAATGGGTCAAATAAAATGCTGTTAGGAGCTGTCTACATACCACCGGACTCGAACACAGCAGTGTATGAAGAACACGCTTCATTTGTCGAACATTTGACGTCCGATTACAACGAGGACATAGTTTGTATTGTGGGTGATTACAATCTACCAGGTCTAGAATGGTGTGTCGCTCCTGATGGTGATGGCTTTGTGCCGCTTGGAGTTAGTAAAGACGTGGAGCAGAGTGTCTGCGACGGATTTTCATATTGCAGTCTTTCACAACTTAATAACATTAAGAATGATAAAGGTACAGTTTTGGACTTGGTTTTTTCAAACTGGTCCACCACACTCGTTCAACAATGTGAGCCCTTGATCAATCCGGATGTGTTCCATCCGGCCTTATCCATTCACTTTGATATTCTAGGTGATGACACTCTTAATGATCCATTGAATATTTGTTTAGATTTTAGAAATGCCCAGTACGATAGAATTATCGACAATTTGTTTAGCTATAATTGGTCCATTTTGAATGAACAGAGTTGTATCAATCAAACTGTTGAGTTGTTCTATGATTTTCTTTATAGACTTATTGACTGTTACGTTGCAAGTAAACTTCCACATAAAATTAGTTGGCCCAAATGGATTAGTGATCAATCAAAATGTTTAATCAAACAAAAGAAATTTGCCTACAAGAAATTTAAAATTTCCAACCTACAGTCCGATTATAATATTTTTGTAAATTTACGCAAAGCATGTAAAAAATCGGTTCTAAACGACAGAGAGCTTTACATTAAAAAAGTTGAAAATGATGTGGTAAATGATAGTAAAAGTTTCTGGCACTTTGTAAACGAAACCAAGAATGATAGACATACTATGCCTTCTTTACTTCATCTCGAGGACGTTCAAGCGGCAGAAGGTCAGGACATTGCTAACTTATTTGCAACGTTCTTTCAGTCAAATTATTCTAATCTCTCTGCTACTTCTGACTATGTACGAGAACCCCAGGGTTATTTATTAGATGTTAGCAATTTTGTTATTACGGTTGAAGATATTGTAAATAAAATCCGCACTTTAAATGATAAGACCAGTGCCGGGCCTGATAAAATCCCCGTAGTTTTTTTGAAAGCGTGTGCAGAATCGTTAGCGTATCCCCTTTATGTGATATTTAATAAAACTATACAATTATCACAATTTCCCAAAGTCTGGAAACAGTCTTATGTAGTTCCAATACACAAGGGTAACTCTAAATCAGATGTCAAGAATTACAGGGGTGTTTCTATTATTTCAGCTATACCAAAATTATTTGAAGCTATTATTTGTGATAAATTGCAGAAAATTACAAAAAATTTTATAATGGAGGAACAGCATGGCTTCTGTAAGGGTAAATCTACCAGCTCCAACTTATACAAATTTGTTAACTTCGTAAGTACTGCGTTAGAAGATGGTAACGAAGTAGACACTATCTACACAGACCTAACCAAAGCGTTTGACAGAGTCAATATCAATATACTAGTATCTAAACTGCACGCAGCTGGTATCAGGGATCCTCTCTTATCATGGATAGCCTCATACTTATTAGAACGAGAACAAATTGTCAAGGTAAAGGGATTTTTTTCACAAAATATTAAAGTAACCTCAGGCGTCCCACAAGGGTCTCATTTGGGACCTTTACTTTTCAATATATATATAAATGATCTTAAAGAGTTTATAGATAAGACGGGATGGATTTCTGTTATACGCGGACGATCTAAAACTGTTTCGCGTTATCAGGACAGATACTGACTGCGCCTTACTACAGAAAGAGCTGGATGGATTTGTTGCCTGGTGTAAAATAAACGGTTTAGAAATTAACATAAGCAAATGTAAAATCTTAAGGTTTTCATGCAAAAAAATGCGCATGCTGTTTGACTATATCATTGAAGGTAATAAATTGGAGCATGTCGATGTTTTCTGTGATTTAGGTGTATATTTTGACAGGTCTCTAAGTTATTCACAGCATGTGGATGATGTTGTCAATAAATGTAATAAGCGTCTAGGTTTCATAACCAGAATTACTAAAGAGTTCTCTAATACGCGACCAATCATTATATTATATGTTAGTTTCATACGATCGTTGCTTGATTATGGGTCAGTCATATGGACACCTAATTATAAGACTGCTAAAAAGCGATTAGAACGCTTACAAATGAAAATAATAAAGACCCTAGCATTCAAATCTAACATAGATTACAACAACAGCGATTACGTAAAACTTTTAGAATATTTTGGTATACCTGCGATAGAAAGACGACACAAATATCTTGATATATGCTTTGCCTTTAATCTATTAAACAATCATATTGACTGCCCCAGTATACTGGAACAATTTTATCTACACGTGCCAAGCTATTCGGTAAGACATAATGACTTATTCTATGTCTCAAATCATCGAACAAATTATGGGGTTCATTTTTCTATTAGCAGATTATGCAAACTATTAAATGAGTATCCCTGTCTAGACCTTTTTAATGTACCACCTAAATGTTTTAAAGCAAATGTGAAGTCCATCCTGAGCTGGTAAATTATTTGTAATTTATTTGTTTTTTGTTTTTTGTTTTTGACGAAGTAATGTATTGACTAAAGTGTACAATGTATATATAATGTCTGTATGTATGTATGTATTGTTCATCTCTTTTGACTTGTACAAGGATATAATTCCGTAAATATATGTATTATTATTATTATATTTACGTAATCGTTCAAGAACTTTAATTAAACGAAATTTACATTCTTCAATAGAAGAACCTTGAACCATTATATCATCAAAATACGCTGTGGTACCTTCTAAATCGTGAACAATTTGATTTGGAGCCGTTTTGATACCAAAAAGAGTCGTTTAGCTAAATAGGTACCTCGATGAGTTGAAATTGTTTGTATTCGTGCACTTTCATCATCAACAGGAACATGTAAATATGGGGTATTCCATACCAAATCGACCACTTTTTAACCCGACCCCTTTTGATATGCCTGAAAGTTTTTCTTCCTTTTCTATCCTATAAAAGACGTTTCTCAGAATTTTTTCAATTTTTTTTACCCGACTCAAAAAAAGTTATGAATTTTTGAAAAAAACCGCTCATTTTTTTTTGAACTGCTAGAACTTTTTCAAAAATTGACCGTTTGGGACCGTTTTTTTTTCAAAATTTTTGTTTTTAAATGTACTTTTCGGAAAAAAATACACCAAAATTTTTAAAGTTCATCTTATAAGAAATTTTTCAGTTTTTTGAGAAAAACCATCAAATTTTCGAAGTTCGCCATTTTTTATTTTTTATTTTTTTTTCTCATAAAAAACTTCAATCAATTCTCCAATTATCCCCACTAATCCCGGAGTGGGCCGATTCTTTTTTCTATTTTTTTTATTTAATTGAAAAAAAAATTGTTTATTTTCAAAAGAAAAAAACATTTTTTTTTTCATTTATATTATTTATATTAGAAAAGAAATAAAATTAAAAGATTTTTAGGTAATATATTTTTTATTTATAATCTTAATCTACGATTAATATGACTGAGATTCAAATCTTAATACGTCAATCGGATCGATAAACTAGGGTATGACAATTACAGACTTACCTATAGCCAGTTTATTCGATACACGCAAGTATGTTCTAATCCATAAATCTATTCGGTTGTCTTAAATTGAGAGTTAGAACATAACCTATAAATCTTCAGTGCGTTTTAGTATTGAATTAAAGATTATTGTCATTATATTTGATTAATAAAAAGAACAATTTTCTCTAGTTTATGAACATTCTTCTGATTCATTGTTTTAGAAGCGATAATTATTTTGATTATACTTATCTACATTTATCAAAATAATTTCATCGAAACATTATGGCATCAAATAAGCAAAAAAAATTGTTTACTATTGAAAATGAAAAGATTTTTTTTTCAATTAAATAAAAAAAATAGAAAAAAGAATCGGCCCACTCCGGGATTAGTGGGGATAATTGGAGAATTGATTGAAGTTTTTTATGAGAAAAAAAAATAAAAAATAAAAAATGGCGAACTTCGAAAATTTGATGGTTTTTCTCAAAAAACTGAAAAATTTCTTATAAGATGAACTTTAAAAATTTTGGTGTATTTTTTTCCGAAAAGTACATTTAAAAACAAAAATTTTGAAAAAAAAACGGTCCCAAACGGTCAATTTTTGAAAAAGTTCTAGCAGTTCAAAAAAAAATGAGCGGTTTTTTTCAAAAATTCATAACTTTTTTTGAGTCGGGTAAAAAAAATTGAAAAAATTCTGAGAAACGTCTTTTATAGGATAGAAAAGGAAGAAAAACTTTCAGGCATATCAAAAGGGGTCGGGTTAAAAAGTGGTCGATTTGGTATGGAATACCCCAAATACGCTTTGAAGACGTCTAATGTACAGAAATATTTGCCATTTTTCATTTTATTGAAAATATCTTCTATTCTGGAAATAGGATAACGATTATCTTGAAGTTGATTGTTGATAGTTACTTTGTAATCAGCACACAGTCTAATGTCACCACTCTTCTTCGGCACAATTACCAAAGGTGTTCCCCACTCGGAGTGATCAGTTTTCTTAATAATATCTTGATTTTCTAAGTCATCTAATTCGTGTTCAACTTTCTCTTGGAGAGCGTAAGGAACTCGGCAAGGATTTATAAAAATTGGTTGTGCATTATCTCGAAGAGATAAAGAGCATTGATAGTTTGGATTTTCACCAACTTTTGGTAGAAAAACGTCGCTGAAGTGATTGAAAATTTCTGACATTCATGGTTGACAAGTACAAATAGAATAAAAATCATGAAGACTTATCTGTAGGTTTCGAATCCATCGTCTTCCCATAATGGCTGTACCATAATCAAAAACGACAAATAAATCTCTCTTTTCATATGTAACAGGTATTTGTATGTAACCCAGAGGTTTAAATATTTGTTTTGTATAGGAGCGAAATTGAATGTTTGTACTTCGAAGAGTCACTTTAAGATTCAATGCATCGAAGATTTTCTTTGAAATGATGCTGACTGGACTGCCGGTATCACACTCAAATTTAACTGTAATGAACATTTTTGGTTCATAAGCTGACGAAGAACTATTGAAGATGTCGATAATATTATTTATTTGAAATTCTTCATCAACAGAGGAATTTGAACCGATGTCGACGTTTTTGACAGTTTGTCGATTTTTTTGAAGTAATGTGGAAATACATACTTTATTTGCGTACCCTTTTTTCCGACAGAGATTACAGTGAAGTTTTTCTTTGATACGACAGTTGTCAGTTTGTTGATTCTTCCGAGATTTTTAAAATTATTTAAAAAATGAAACACAGTTTCCAAAAATATTTCTATGTATTAAAAAAAAATACAGGGGAGAACCCAAGACTCCTCCAAACTTTTTTAAAAACAATACCACCCACCCGCCCCGTGTATTTTCTTAGCAGGGATGTCATTTCCCAAAACCAGTCTTATCTAAGCAGCTACTAACCCCACCCACCCACCCTCTCTTTTCTTAGAGGGTATTCCATTTGCCAAAATCAGTCTTATCTTAGAAGGTACTAGTCCCCAATCATTTTTCAAATTCTTTAAAAAATAAAAGCCAAGCAACGCTGAAGATTTTTTAACATATTAAAGAGAAAGGACATTTGGGATTCCCAAGATTCTTCAAAATTTTGAAAAAAGAACACCAGGAAAACCTCAAGAATTTTTAAAGTTCTTTCAAAAACAAAACACAAAAGACCAAGAAGATTTTTTCACATTTTAGAAGTACAACGGCAAGAATTTTCGAGATTTTTTTAAATTCGTCCAAAAATAACACAATGGACCCCTACAATTTGTGTGTGTGTTTTATGTATTGAAAATTCTTTCCTACTAGTTCAAAAATGACACTAGAAGTCTCCGATTTTTTTTCAATTTTTTTAAAAAATAAAAGGCAACCGATGCCGAAAATTTTTTGACATATGAAAAAAGGGACATTTTGGTCCGTAAGATTCTTTCAAAATCTTTAAAAATAAACACTTCAGGATTTCTTCAAATATTTCAGACACAAAACAGAAGGAATCCAGACAAAAAAAAACACTAGGAGCTTCCAAGATGGTTTTCAAACTCAAAAAAGACAAAAAACCTAGAAACAAATTCTTTGAAGAATAAAACACAAAGGGAACCGAAAATTCTTTCACATGGTTAAAGAAAACCATACCGGAATTCCTGAGGTTCTTCCAAACTTTTTAAAAAAGTCTCAAAACTCTGGGAAACCCCGACAATTTTCCAAATTATTTCAAAAACAAAACACAATAGGCTCCGAGGATTATTTCACATTTTAAAAACAAAACACCAAGGCTTTCCGAGATTTTAAAAAATTATTTAAAAAATGAAACAATTGATCCGAAGATTATTTCCATCTATTAAAAAAATACAGAGAGGCTCAAGATTCCTCCAAACTTTTTTAAAAACAATCCTGGGAGTCCCAGATTTTTTCCAAATTCTTTAAAAAATAAAAGACAAGCAACGCTAAAATTTTTTTAACATATTAAAGAAAGGATCTTGGGGGTCCCTATGATTCTTCAAAATTTTGAAAAATAGAACACCAAGAAAACAAAGATTTTTTCAAATTCTTTCAAAAGGTCAGAATCAAAGGTGGATCTTATACTGAATAAGTGAATATAAATAAAATCGTTCAAATGAGAACAGCGCGGGTGTGCGCTAGTACTTGCTAAAATAAGACTGAACAATGTTAAGAGTAGTCACTAGAATGGAGAAGGAGTGGATGGGCGGAAATATTGCTTGCTTATAAAAGACTTTTAGCAAAAATTTAAACTTTATATTTTGCCTTTTTTTCTTAATATACATAGCCATCTTTTCACAACAAGAAACTTGAAACATCGTTGCAAGGAAATATGAGTTTCGGAATTATGGAGCCGAGTCTAATTCCAAAATCGATATTTTTTTATACAATTTTCCATTTTAAACATGTTTTGAGTTTCATGTTGTGAAAAGGAGTCCACACATATTGAAAAAAACAGGCAAAATGTCAGCCCACCCACCCGCCCTATCTCGATTGTGATGATTTTTTAATTCGACGTGAATCAAAGGGGCGGAGCTTAACTGCAAAATACTCATTTCTTTACAAGAAATGAAGAACATAAAGTATATTAAGAAAAAAAAGCAAAATATAAACCCCGCCCACCCACCCCAATTCAATTGTGGTGATTGTTTTATTCTTATGTAGAGATTGATTAAGATCGAAAATTTGAAAAATTCGGAAATTTAACAATCGAATAATCAAAATGTCAATAATTCGAGAAATAGAAAAATTGAAAAATCTGAAATTCAAAAATTGAAAAATTGAAAAACCGAAAAATCTAAAACCGGAAGCTGAGAAATAGAAAATGTAAGAACGGCAAAAACAATAAATTGAAAAAACAATATTTTATATTCGTAAAACTGAAATGCTGGAAAATTGAGACATCGAAAAATAAAAAAACAAGA